ACAGCATGGCTTAGGTTGGAGGCGGAGATCTTAAAGATAATCCATTTCCAAGCTTCTGCCGTGGGCAGGGCTGCTGCCCACCAGATCAGGCTGCCAAAGGTCCAGTTCAACCAGGCCTTGAGTGCCTCCAGGGATGGGGTACCCCCAGCTTCTCTGGGAAACCTGTTCCAGTGCCTTACCACCCTCTGAGTAAAGAAATTCTTAACATCTAGCCTAAATCTCTCCTCTTTTGTTTTAAAGCTGTTTTCCCTTGTCCTGTCACTGTGAGACCATGTAAAACGTCAGTTCCCCTGCTGCATGTAAGCTACTTTCAAGTACTGGAAGGCTGCAATGAGGTCTTTGTGTTTCTGTGTGCTGCTTCCTGGGTTTTGGTGGGCAGAAGAAGGAAGGAAAGCCCTGCTGGCTGTTTGCTGCTCTCCGTTTGTCGCTTGCATGGCCCAGCTCCATGTTTTGGTTTCTCTCTGACCTGTGATGATTCACTTGGCGCTCATTGACAACCTGTCACAGTTATGAGCTGCACTTTGTGCTTTGGATGGAAGGCACGTGGAGGAGAGGCCAGGCATCCACGGTACGATCACATCTCAGCACGTTACTGCTCTAGTTTTGTCTTTCTTGCCAAGCTGTCTTCCTCACTCTGGCAGAAGTAATCATCAGTCTCTCACAGTCAGAGCGCTGTCAGACTGATCGTCTCCTTCATAATGCAGTTGCTGCTGACTAGAGAAAATAGAACGTGGTTTGTCTAAATCCAACACAAATAGTAGGAGATGAGGCTCCTGTATACTCTCATTTTACATCAATTAGGAAATCAATTATAATGAAACACGTGCTGTAAGTTTATATTGGGAGACCTGTGATCCTTCGTTTACTTCACAATCACCAGATTCTGGATCAGCCTTTCTTTTAGGAGTTTGCTGTTGACGGTGAAGAGGTGGTTCTGGTCAACGAGTTTGGCTTTTATAGCACATTTTGAATTCCCACTAGGGCTTATGCTTGGGTGTCAGCTGTAGGCTTGGTACATAAGTATAAAGTGATCATAATCTCATGGAATCGCAGAATGGTTGAAGTTGGAAGAGACCTCTGGAGGTCATCTGGTCCAATCCCCTGCTCAAATAGGGATTTGGGAAAGTGGATTTCAGTTTTTTGTTTTTTACATATGGCATTTCCTTTTACTTTGTCAAATGTAAGTGACAGAACTGAAGTTTTCCATTGTAATCTTTGGCCTTTGTCCTGTAAAAAGAACACTTGATGTGGAACTCCTGGAGCGAGTCCAGAGGAGGGCTGCTAAGATGATCAGAGGGCTGGAGCACCTCTCCTATGAGGAAAGGTTGAGGAAACTGGGCTTGTTTAGCTTGGAGAAGAGAAGATTCCAGGAAGACCTCATTGTGGCCTTCCAGTACTTGAAGTTAAAGTGATAAAATAAAGCTGGAATGCTTCTTCCAGAAGGGACTGAATAAATTTTGTTTTGAACCTGCAGCTTCACCCCACCTTCAGCTCAACAAACCTAATGCTGCTCAGAAACTTGCAAGCTCTTCAGTTTTCTGACCTAAGATGACTGTGAGTCTGAGAGGAGGATAATTTTCTGCTTTGGTGGTAGACCAGGAAATACGTGCAGTAAATCTCAGTTAAAATTGGCTTGGGCTTAGTGAGCAATAAGCTCTTTCATGAGGTCTTGTTCTATGTCTGATTTGAAGATATTGCATACCAAATGTAAGTCCTCATGTCAGAGGCAGCTGGACTGTGATTGATTTTTCATTGGAAGAGGAGGTTTTGTATTTCCCACGAGTTTATTTTCCCTCTCGTTATTTTGGGAATCCACTTTATTTCCAGTGAAAAGGGAAGAATATCCTTGGTGCTGCTTATTGCAGCATGTAGACTTCACACTGAAATTCTTAAAATAAATAAATAAATCAAGAAATTCTTTAAATTATTTGTTTTGGATAAGGTCTGTGTTGCTCAACTGTCTTGAGATGATTCTCTCTACACTTGGGATTTAGTTTTGTCAGCAAGTAAGGTGTGTGCCATCATGTACTTCAGATATTACCTATTGTGTGGCTTTTAAATTGAAAAAATAATGTGGCAGTGTGATTATTTCTTTGGGACATTCATGAAACAACTTTTTTTTTTTAAGTATGGAGTACAGTGAAGGAGCTCTGCAGTGGAGGAAGGCCTTGTCTTTCACCTTGTATGTGTTAAAAGGGCAAAATCTTCACTGTAGGGTTAGATAAAGAATTTCTTATGGTGCTAGAAGACTTCTGCAAAAGCTGATATAATGCCTAGCTATAACTGCAGGACACTGAGCAGGATTATGTAGGTCGTAACATAGGTTGCGTGGGTCTGCTGGCAGTAAGGCTCATAAAGACGACTTATTTGGTGGCACAACAAAAGATGTAATTGCTAGCAGTTGTTTTTTTTTCTTCTCAGCTTTCTACTTGGGAAATACTGGAAATGGTGCAGTAGCTGTGCAAGGTGGAAAAGCTCTACTGTTGAGTCTGGTGCTTCCAAAGCTGAGAACAGGCGAAGGGAAGGTGTGAAACACTTCAGCTGCAAGTAGCTGCGTTGAAAGAATGTGACTCTTTCTCTATCCCATTTCATTAGTGCACAGGAGTAGTATTTCAAAGCCAAAACTGTAGAGCGTTGTGGAATTGTGTGATACCACAATGGCAACTTGTGCCGAAGTGAGAAGACACGTAGAACATTCTTAGTGCCTCGACAAAGGTGTTGGTGGCATTTCTTCCTGATGTGCACTTGATAGGCCCGCAGCGCATCTCTCCTTCAGGCTGAGCAGTCCTACTGCTCTGGCCTTGCCTTGCTTGATGGATCCTCCAACCCTTCTTCATCTCTGTGGCCCTGCCTATGAAGAGTTTGCCCAGGAAGTTCTTGCCTGGTTTCTGCTGGTGGACCGGGAGTAGATACAGGACTTTCAGTGCAGCCTTCCTAGTGAGGCTTTCACTGCAGCATCAAACTCTGATACATATTTGTTGTACAATACTCAGTGTGACCATTTGCATAACATACTTTGCATTGGAGCTCTGTGTCAAGAGTAGGATCTGTTTAAAGTGATACTTAAAGGAAAAAAATAAAAAAGTTTGGGTTTTTCCTCCCAGCCTCATGTAATGCTAATCTTCTGCTGAGGCTGCAAGTGCAAGCAGCTTAGGTTTCATGTGAGTGGCTGGGAAATGTGCTGCTCATCCTCTTTCTTCTGTTGGTGCTCTTGGCTGCTATAAAGTGCAGAAACGTTGCTGGCAGTTCTTGAGAAGCATTTCATTTTGTCAGTTGTTTCTGTTTCTTTTTGTGTGTGTTTGTTTTCTTTAAACTGTTAAATTCAATAATTTTTTTTTCAATATGGAAGTTTTAATTAGATTTAGACCAGGCTGTAAGTAGTATTAAGATTAGTGTATTATTCAAACAATACCCATTCATATTATAAGCCTAAGCTTTCCTGTTACAGTGTGTTGATTTGTTGAGAAAAAGTTTTCTAAGGAATTACATTAGTCACTGATGTCTCTGAGAGCTTAAATTTCACATTCAGTTTGATATTTAGTAAAGAAGTGTTAGGAATGAAGGCAAACTGCCTCGTGTAAGTTATTTCAGCTAAGGATGGAAGTTATTTTAGGCTGGTAAAATGTTTTGGTGTCTTTTTTCTTTTTTTTTCCATGCTGCTCCTTCTCTAGAGAATTTGCTGTTGTAGATTTCCAGTGTGCTTAATGTGGATCTACTGAAAAAAGACATTTAAGCACTGTTTATAAATATTTATATACTCCTCTGATACTCCCAGATCAGAGGTGATTTAGCAAAGTGAAGAAAAATGATTTCCTGAGGGAAAACAAAACCAAACCCAAGTTCCTTGGAGGTTAATAGGATATTGGAATGCAGACAGTGAGTTCCCAATGTTTTTATTTTCATGGTTTGGTTTACATACAGTATCTGGTGACTCTAATAGTAAATAGACATGAATTCTTTGCCAGCCCACAAGAGGTAGGAGGCTGCCCACGTAGCCCAGGATTTAGGGTAAATTTCCCCCTTCTAATGTGCGCTCACAGTCAGCAGCTGAATTGAAGGGATGTACAGGAAGCACACAGTTTGTATGTGCTGCAGTACTGTCTGGAACCCTTGATGCCTATTTATCTCCTTGATACAGTATAAGAACTTCTGCTTGTCCCTAATTATTATATACGTTGTGAGGAGCTCATAACAGACTTTCCAAAATGACGTACTCTTTCTGAAACTGTAACTTAATGTGGTGAGGGACACCTTTATGATTGCCCAAATAACTCTATAGATCAAATTGTAGAAATTAATACTGATAGCTGAGTTTACTAACATTCGACACAATTAATAAGGTCATGAGGAAACAACTCAAAACAGAGTGGCTATTAATGAAGTAAAGGTACTGTGTTCCTTTAGCTCAGACTTTATAGTGCCTTCAGTTTGCATGTAAACTTTGCTACTTTTCTTTTTTTCTCTCCATTGCCTTTTACAGGAAGGGGAAGTAATGATGTTGTGGTAGTAGTGACTTCTAAATTTTCCAGTTATTCTGGGAAATGCATTTGAAATGTATGTACTCACTTTTTTGAAGACATCTTAAAATAATTCCTGATCCTTAGTTGCTAGCAGAAACCATTTGTGGTTATTATTAAAACAAAACAAACCAAAACAAGTTCTTGGTTCATGCACAGTCTTGGAGGTCGCATTTTGCAAACCGCTGGCATAAAATCTCAAGAAATTCCTAAACCTCGCTTCAGTTTAGTAATCTTAATGCATTTCTTGTGGAGGACAGCATTGCAGTCTTCCCTCAACATTTCATACCACAAACACCTTTTGCATTTCTTCTCAAAACTGAAGGCAATTGCCTTCAATGCATATAACTTGAAAAATTTCTTCTCCAGTATTGATGATAGATGTTTTCTCTTTGTTGAAGAGATGTGATTTCAGCTCGTGGGGAAAAGTAAAAGTTCTTTCAATATATTTTACTTTTTTTTTTTTACTGTTTCTGATTTCAGGTATTCCTTCATAACTGTTCGTATCCAGGACAGAGCGTGCAATGGGCAGAAAACTGGATCTTTCTGGCTTGACTGATGAAGAAGCAGAGCATGTGCTTCAGGTGGTTCAGCGAGATTTCAGCCTTCGTAAGAAAGAAGAAGAAAGGCTGAGGTAAGATTAAAAACACTGTTGAAAACATTGGTATCTTTGGATCACTGCAGGCTGGTTTTGGGGAAGCTGAGAAACAAAGGTGCTTTGGTTTGTTGTCTGGGTATACTTTGAATAACTGGGCTGATATCAAAGGTCCGCAGTTTGACCTGTAGTTGTTAAGGATGTAACTTCTGTGGGGGGAAAAAACAAAAGGCTTGGTTGTGCTCTAACAGCTGTTTGACTGCCAGAAATAGCAGAGTTAAGCTACTACACCAATATTTACCTGGGAAGTTGCTGAACCAATCAAGGAGCAATAGCTCGGAGCAGTCTATGTACTATTAAATTTCAACCAGGTTGGAAGATGCTCACTGCCTCATAAAGCAGTGTTCTGTTCCTTTGTTCTGAGTGGGCATGGCACAACTTCGTGCTCAAGGATGTCTGACTGTGGGGGAGCCAAGGACACCCCAGACAAAGCTCACACAGCCCCACTCAACACACTTCACACACATTACTCCTCCTGACTACATGCAGCTCCTGTTTGCAAAGAAAGGAAGAGTAGAGATGACCACATCTGTGCAATTTTGTGGTGTTCTGTGCATTAATAATCATTCCTTCAGAGAGGCAGTAAACATCCTACCTTCTTCACATAGATCCAATTATTGCGTAGTAATTTGTTGATGTGTTTAGTCTGTCCAGGCCTTATCCACAGGAATAGTCTCTTAATCTCTGTATGTCTAAACAGTGGTTGCCTTGAATGTGACCATCAACTTCTGTTCATGTTAAGAAAATTATTTGTTTTCTACAGTTGAGGTTCATAGTTGTCTGTCTTTTATTCAGATACATTGTCTACATGTTGATATCTGAAGATGAAGCTCTATCCATCTCTTTCCCCAGAATAAGCACTGACACACTATCCATTGTGTTCAGAAGCTTTGTGTTCAGGTTACTGACAAAAAAATGATTGCAAGCAGAAACAACCCAGAATAAAGCAAATGAGACTAGTTGTGAGGTAGCTTTCTCAGCCCTGGGGCTCTGTATGTGACAAGGAGGGCTAATGGCAGAGGCATGAATTCATAAATGCACTACTTTTCTTGTAGCTTCAGTTATATTTCCTTGAATTCTTATTTTTTTAATACTTCCTTTAAACACTTTTTTTTTTCTCCATCCAGGATAGTCTGAAGTCCTTATTTATAGTTAGCAAATGCATATTTCCTTGCACCACTACTATCACAGATATGTTTCTTTATCATTTGGCACCAAGCTGAAGTCAGCAAAGCAAAAATGCATTTAGTGTCATATTGAAGTGCAGTGGGGAGCTGAGCAGAGTCCCTTCTTTGTCACATGTTTTCTGTTAATAGTTTCTGAAACTATTTGGAACATCAGGAACAAGAAAGGAGACTTGCAGCATAGGCCTCATTCATTTCTTACATGCAATGCAGCTTCTTGCTTGGATTGTTCTTCAGGGGGAAAAAAGACTAGAGGAGGATGGTACACAGAAGTGTTTTTTATCTTTTTTGACATTGATTGTACTGATCATTTTTTTGGTTACCCTTCACAACAAAGCCAGGAGGGGTTATAGACAGAGCTTGAGAAGGGTGGATAAAGGGGCTTTCTCTGGCTCATTTGTGTGGCTGGATTTATTCTACCAGGTAAGCACACCACAGTTCGCAAGTTCTGGGCACGTTGTCAGTTCTGTACAACTGGATCTTACAGCAAGGAGGAAGGGGAAGGATGATGTAGGGTGCCCACGGAAAATTGATCAGAAAGATTTTACTCTTCTAGCCCGAGATGAAAACTTCAGTAAGATGCTACAAGAACTGAAGTTTGTCTTAGCTCCTGATGGATGTTCTTATGGTAGGAAAAGTGGCAACTGTTTCAGAGCTAATGTACCAGTGTTTTTTACAGTATTGCAATTGGTTGCATGTTAAATTAGTTTCACACATTTCCCTAAACAAAATGACATAATGAATGTGTGGAGAAAGGTTCTATATTTTTGTCTGGATAGTTCCATAGATCTGTTTCAAATAAAATGTGTGACCTTAAACAATAGATAGCAGTTCAACTGCTGGCATGTATCTTTTGAGAAGGGTTGTAACACTACGAGCCACCAGTTCAAGGATGTGTTTGGGGGGAGTCAAAGGCCCTTATTATTACTTTTTTTAGTATGTTAGGGTAGAACTTGTGTGCATACTGTCCTCTTCCCAGTAATATAGTTTTGTCATATTTTACATGGGTGCTATGTAAATACTAAAGTGAAATGTAACACATCTAAGAAGCCATACTGATCATCTGCATTTTTTTCTTTTTTAATGCAAAGCTGTATTGAGTCTCTCTGCAGGGAGGAATTTTAGCAGCAGTTCTCAAACTTATATCTTTCTTCCCACTTATCAGACAGGCTCTTGTATGTTTTGTGAAAAATCAGTTGGGTAAAAATAGTAAGCTAACAGTAAGATAACTGCATATAAATAGCTAGCGATTAGTGTGGTTGATTTGTCATGCTTTGCTGCTCCCTATCAGTGCAGTTTCCTTTTCTTTTCTTTTTTTTTTTTTTTTGCTATGGCTCTGTCTGAAATCAGATTAATAATATTTACTGTTCTTTCTTGCTTGTTCACCCATAATCTTTCTATTTTGATTGTGTTGGTTCTGTTCTTTGGCAGTAGTGTTATATTTTTATTTATTCCAGTGTTGGTATAATCATTCAGAGCCATTTAGGCTAAAATTACAGCACTGACTTCTAAATAAGCAGTCTTAGTTCTCTGTGAACCAATTGACACAGATAAACAAGGAAGGTCTGGCATAAATAGGAAGATGATTAGTTTGAGTTGCTTAGCAAGTACTCTGAGCATTGGGCTGTGATGGTACAGCCTTGTGTACTTCACCTCTATTATACAAACTACTCAGGCTGTCTGTTGGCTATTGGGATATTAGTTTCTGGAGATTCCTTTTAGGGTAAACTTACTGGACACACTACTGGTTTGTTTTCTCCTGGACAATCTGTTTTTAGTCTTTAATTTCAGACTTTGCATTCCTGCAGTTTGTCAGTCAAGGGGAAGATTGGACTGTTCTGAGGTTTGAATTTCTCATGTTTCTTTATAATTTCTGTGTTATGTCTGCACTTTGCTTTTTTTAATAGAGACAGTAGAGGAGTGCTTACCAGGGTCTCTGAGGCTGAGTGTTTATTTGTGAGATAGGCCTCTTTGCACAAATAGATGTGTAAAAGAGATTGCCACCTTTCATTTGTTGCCATTTGCTGTCAGTGTATTCAGTCTTCTGGATCATGGAAGTGTGTATTGGTCTTCTCCCTTGTCACGAAACACATTCCTTCTTTGGTTTTGTTTTTACAGGTTGTGTTATATTTGTTATAAATGTGCTGTCTGGTTGTTTCAGATTAGGACTGCTGTGCAGCAAGTAAGATTAGGTAAGTTTTAAATATGAAATAAGATTATCATTTTACCAGATGAAAAATGATGGGTGTTCCCAACTTGCTTATGAAAACAATAGTCCATGCAGACGGATTGAAGGTCAGCTGCACTAATACTGAATTGAATATTCAAAACAAGTATAAAATGAGAAAAGGCAGAAGGGTAGAAAAGGAACAGGCATAGGTGAGGTTCAGTGAGGGAAGAACCTCTGGGTGCTGAGCAAGGGCTTTTCTGTCAGTAGCTCCTTTGCTTTTAGAAGGCTGTGGCCTAAGCCACGTAAATTGTGTTTTTGTAACCACTGGCCATCACTGTACTGAATGCTGAGTAAGTCATTTGTGTGGTGGTATTTTTGTGGTAAGCCTTGGAAACTTACGCTGGACTGGTTTGAAAAGCATTTCTGTGGTGGTGGGGACATGGTTTTGTCTTATTTAAACCGTTGCTGTTAATCACCTGGGAAAATGCATTTGTGAGGAAAAATTACTGACCTTCTGGTACCATGTGGGCATGTCACAAGGTGTTATTCACTTAATATACTTGCATGGAGTGACTGGAAAAACATTAGGGAGGTGTTGCGAGTTGTCTGTTATCCACAGGCTGAGAACATCTGCATGGTTTGCCTGATACGGTCTACTTTTTAGCTAGCTGGTAAAGATTTGCTTTGCTGTCTTCACTTATGCAGTTGCGTTTTCAGCTGTGGTAAAGAACTTCACTGATTCCCAATCAAATCACCAGCACTGGTTGGCTTGCTTGCTTTTTTTGTAGAGAATATGAATGCATGTGCTCAGCAGAGGGCCTCCTACATTCTGATTGTTGCTATTTTCTCACATCCAGAAATTTGGTGAGGAATTAAAATAGAGCCTTTTATCCTGTGTAGAACAAGATTAAGCATTTAAAATTAAGAGTTGTTTTTTGCCTGTTTTCATCCTTCTGTTCCTTTCACACTGCAGCTCCTTGGAGTACGAATTAGACTTGAGAAGAGGCTTCCTAAGAAACAAATTCTCATACCTGGCCATATTGAGAGACCAGTTGGGATTCTGTTTCTTGTGAGACTACTGTAGGCTTAGGTGTATGCACAGTATGTGTCATGGGTCTTGTAGTAGATAAAATACAAAACTCCTTGTAACCTGTTAATTGAAGTGTTGTCTGTATGAGTCATATCAAACTGGCAAGACACCAAGCAGACATTCGGGAGCTATCTGTTGATTCTGCTTATCAGTTCTTCTTCCCTTCCTGTGGCAGATGTCTTAAATACCTGAATAAAACAAAATAAAGCTATCCTTCTTCCCACTTCTCCTCCAGTTCAAACAGAGCTGTTTTAAAGCAGTTTTCCTGGTGACGGAGATTGGTTTCCTCCACAGGCTCCAGAGTTTCAGTGGGTGAAATTCTGATCAATACCTTGGTCAAAGCATTTTCCTAAGATCAGTCTCCCTGCCCTTTCCTCCTGAACAGCCTGGGGAGAGCACAAGGAGGCTTCTGTCCATTGCTTTGATATCTCCTAGCAGGTAGGCACAGTGTTGGTTCCTGTGCCTGCTCATTAACCCCTCGAGGGATCTGCAGAGTGAGGCTGTGATATACCACTTTCTGCTCATTGGCTCTGAG